ACTTTAGCCCTCAATATCATTTTCTCATTTTCCCCCTCCCTCCCCCATGAACCCTTCATAATTCATAAATTATTATAGTTTTGTCATAAGTTACACTGTCCGACTTCTCCCTCCGCCCCCCTTACTGTCCTTTCCCCAGGGAGGAGTCTATACTTAGATTCTTGTCATTGGTTCCCCCCTTCTACCCCACATTCCCTTCACCCTCCAGGCCTCGCCCCTCTCACTGCTGGTCCTGATGAAGTCATCTATCCTGTGTTTCAAGTTGCCATCTGTACCAATGTACATCCTCTGGTCTAGCCAGATTTGCAAGGCAGAATTGGGATCATGACATTGGGGGGGTAGGAAGCATTAAAGAACTAGAGGAGCTATATGTTTCATCGCTGCTACCCTATGGACTCTGAGTCTCCACTATGCACTCACCCACCTTTACAATGACATAATTTCTTGCTCCTTGATGCCTGACACCCGATCCCTTGGACAGCTCATAGTCACACATACTGGTGTGCTTCTTCCATGTGGGCTTTGTTAGCAACCTAATCTTGTAACCACTATACCACCAGGGATCCTCCAAGTGCTCAAGAGCCACACGTATTTAGTGGTTCCCATAATAGCTATGGCAGGTATGAAGAACATTTCCATCACTTGCTACTGTACTTTGAGAGAGGGATGAGAGACAGGAGAAATCATTTCTAGTTCTCTAGTTTTGGGGGCCCATTCCTCCCCATATTTCCTCATTCTTGTCTTTTTACTTGGAGCACACATCCTGTTTCCACCTGATACAATCGTGTTCATCTTTTACATAGTATCTCTCACATTTACTTCTTCTTTGGAATCTTCTCTGGATTTCAAAGCAGTATCTTTCTGTTTCTTTTTATTTGATTTTCCTCAGCAAAGTTGTTCTCTTGTCTTTAGCCTGCCCAACATCCAGGTCCCTTCTCCCTTTGGAGAAAGGTATGACTTCTCACCTTTTTTGTCCATGCGAATTCAGGTGAAGCTACCCTCATCCCTAATCATAATCATAAGTATATGAGCCAGATGAGTCACCCCATCAATCCCAAGACATTCACTGGGGAAAAAATGGAGGTGCTCTCTTCCCATTAACAGTTGCTAAATTGGTTGGAGACATGTCTGGATTGGCTGGTAGCCATCTTGCCAACAAAGGGCAGGTACTGCTTGGGAGTGAAGACAACTCAGAGAAATAAAACTAAGAGAAAAGTACAGATCCTGGATCACATCTCCTCACACCTGGCCACAGCTGCGTCCTGAGTTCTTTGTCCTCCAACAGCAGTCAGGGTAGGCATAAATTCCCTCTGGGCTGTTGGTCTGCATGAAGACTGGCCTCATCATCTCTTAGGCACTTGTGCTCTGCTTGGACAGATGGCAACAGTATAGTTATTTGCTAGTTCTCTGTACTCCCCTTTCTTCCATCCCTTCAACCAGTCAGTCACCCTCTGTTGGCCTCATTTCATGGGTCCTATGTACAAGATTTTTTAAGAGGCATTAATGGATTTATTTTTAATTTAAAAAAATCAATTTTACATTCAAATTATTTTTGATATGCTGATAATCAAATACGGAGCCTAGGGCATGATTTATATTCACTATCTACAGTGAAATCTATTTTTATCAACACCTTTAGAATTTCACAGTGCTGCACATACGTATTACATATTGGTTACTCTCTACTTCACAAGCCACCCAAAGGAAACCCAAACTTTTTACCTGATGAACCCATAAGCACCTCTAGGGCATTGCGCCTTCAACGCCCTCCTTCCAGCTTGACAAGAATGCCACTGACATCACTCAAGTGGTGCACACTAACAAGTCGGCTGGGGGAGGTGCTCCAGCTACCATGCTTGTGGCTCCCATTCCCTTCCTGGGTCCGCTCACTTGCGCCTTCTGAGCTTCCTGTTGGGTTCACGCTCTCATCGCTGTCCTAGCCATGCTGGGGACAGGCCCACCTCCTTAACGGGCTCTCAGTAAGTCACTAAAATATACACCCCACCTATTGCCACGGAAGACGTTCTCCTGCACAGTCACCCTACGCGCTAGAGAATGGCTCCACGGGGTTTCTCAGCTAGCACTTTCACAGAGGCTTCTGCAGCACCCCTGAAGTGGTTTCCAACCACCACTTTTAGGTTAATTACAACTTACCCTGATTGCGGATGTTGGGAAAGTTCCCAGACTCCAACCACCAATTTTCTAATGCAATCCTTTTCAACTAGAATTGGACTAATGAATAAATTATTCATTCATGAACAAGGAACATTTTCTTACACCACACCCCCGCCAAAAAAAAAAAAGGTTTCAATATATCGTTTACAAGACAGGATTAAGAATTACTGTAGAGGACCAGTCACATGGTAAGATTATCTTTTATTAGAGATCTTATATTACATGTTCCCAAAAAGATATAAAATCTTCCAAGAGAAAATATCAAAACCTGTTGATTTCCAAGGTGAACAAAATAATCAAATGAAAGCAAATATTCTGTCAGACAAAGAAATGTGAAAACATTTCCGCATAAGTACAACAAAGACATAGAAAGGTTTATAACACATTTCACAATGTTTATTTCAACCAGTATTTGTAGAAAACAAGGATGCCGAGTTCTCAACACCATAATTGTAACCCCAAATTGAAATTCCCCAAACACACAAACAACTAAGAGAACATAATGAACTACGTGGTCAAAGCGCTATTATGGTAACACATGTAATAAAACTTAAGCAAACAAACATGTCAGCATGGTCACATCCAAGTGTATGGTATTTTAGCGTGCGGCCAAGACACCGAATTATTTAGTCAGTTCTTGACTACCATCCAAAGCAAAAGCATCCTCTCTTCATTTCCCTGATGATATATTCTAAAAACAACTTGAAAAAAGGCAGAAACTTGCTGGTTAGACTTTCTGCTTTCCTTGTGAACAGCTGGTGGCAACACACAGACTAGATCCCAAATGACAGGGGACAGATCCGTCTCAAACAACCAGACGTGGCCAAACCACTGTTATTGCATCAGGATTTTTTTTTTAATATTTCAGCTGCTCAGAAATAACAAAATGAATACACACATCCTTTTAACCACAGAACACAGTGAACTCCCACAGGAAGTTTTGCATTTAAGATGCAATGGAAATACTGATCTTATTCCTGGGATTTGCGTCTGGCAATCCTTCCATCTGTAGATGTCCACAAAAAAGAGGCATTTATCTTTTATTTTCTAATGGTTGTTTATCCTCAAAAAACTAGGAAGGAAAGGTACAGTACATGTTTATTGCATGAAATTACTCCCTTGTAATATCATTATTGACAGTGGTATTGTTTTCCTTATTGTTAAAGGCGAAAGGAGATTATGGGCTTAACCTAACAATAATCTTAGGAACTGCTTCTCGAGTGAAAATCCAGGCAAAATCCAACTACGTGGTGAAACAAACAGAAACTTGGTTTTAATTTCTGTTAAAGATGTTGGAATGACAAGAAGTCAATGGACGTTTTAGAGCCAGATAATACTAAATTTATAGCTTAACATAAAAGGGATTTTTCAAAACTATACATACTCCAAGAATCCTCTCCAGGCTAAAAGTGAACATCCAAAATGAGACTAGTGTTGCTCTTCTTTCACGGTTAAGGAAACACTGATCCCAAATACATTTTTTGGAAAGTACGATAATGGCATATGGGCTACAACTAGATCACCACTTTGAGTGGAACACACATAAAAGGTGAGAATTGGCTGAAGAAACAAATTCTTTAAGAAACCGTGATAAGCCCTAGAGGGGTGGGTTTCAACACAGGATCTATTTAAAGCATTCTTGCGTCAGTCTGGTCCACTCCTGTGAAACGGAAGCAGGGTCTGGATATTGAATGTTACAAAGCCACTGTATTAAGCTGCAGTTTCCTTGGCAGCAGCATATTTTAATTAACACTATTTTTCTTCCTTGTTTGTTTTCTGACAACTTGGTACATTCAAATAGTCAAAATGTTTACAGGAACATCAGCACAGATTTAATGAAACAGATCAGAGTGTGGCCAGCATTGTCAGGCAAAAATTATACAATTTATGTATCATATAAAGTATTCCTCCCCTCCCGCTGCCCACCCTTCCGCCTTGGCCCCAAACAGTACTATGGACACCAAAAGATTTAACAAGACTTATAAAAAAATAAGGCACATTTATCTTGATATGGTAATTTTAAAATAGAAACCCCCCTCTCAGAACACCTGTATTCAAATGAGCTGTGTAAAAAGACTCCTGTGGTACCCCAAATAGGTTTTTGGTACCTATGGAATTGCTTCTTCAATTTGAGTGACAATGGAATAAATTGCACCTATCCCATGTTGTCAAGTAATGAAAAGATGCCTCTTTTTCTACTGCTGAATGAGTTAAGATCTGAACTTCCGGAACTAATTACAAAGGGTGGGAAGGGAAGGGTAAGATGTACGTTAGCAAAAGGTGTGGAAAGCAAGTATGTGTATCATTGAGCGTTGATGATTGCACTTTTCCACGTGTTCCAACATACAAATTTCTTTACTTGTATGAACGACTGCAACCATTTGGCCATTAGCTATTATCACCAGCTTGTATTCCTTTTCGGTCATGTGTGTACTTTTATAAAATTAATGCAGTTAGCAATATGAATACTGCTAAGACTCTCTTCGCAACCCCCAACACAGATATAATTAGTTAGCATTTAACCTGAGATACAATCTGCTGTAAGGTTGTCCCTAAACATTTCTCTGTTTGTTGCATCAAAGTATACTGATGGTGGTAGTGGTTCAAGAAAGGAATGTCGAAACAGAGCAAAAAACACTGGCTTATAGCATGGCTTTTTCTTTTTTCCCCTTTCTTCTTCTTCCTTACTTTTGGGGGGTGAGGAGAGAATCACAGAAGTCATGTTCTCACAGTTGCCAGAAGCTAGAGGGATGCACTTCTTTATTGCACGTCCAACCAATAGAGTACACAAGTCAATGCTGCTCCATCCAAATGTGAAAGCCGGGTTTCACCTCAGCCGGATTCGGAACGTGCTGATTTCCATGGGACTCAAGTTGATCTCACTAATGTTCCGGGCGTCTGGAGGTGCGTGCATCAAGGACAGCGAGGAAGGTGTGAGACTTTCAATAGTAAACTTGCTAAAAAGTTTCTGAACCGACATCTAAAAAGTGAATGACAAGAAGTTAGCATTTTCAGATTAACTCTGAGCAGAGTGGAAAAAACCGGTGAAGAGTGAGACAGAATGCTTAGGTTGCCCAACCGTCTGACTTAGTAATCAGATTGTCTGTGTTCTTTCTTAACTTCTGAGGACACCAGTGCACCATCTGAAAATAACGACCACTCACCCGAATGTTAAAATTGCATTTCCTTTCCTGCCTTACAGCACTAGCCAGGGCTTCCAACCGAACACTGACAACCACAGGGTCGCAGTTTGAAACCCCCTGGCCGCTCTGCAAGGGAAATACGAAGTTCTCCATTCCTGGAAATAGCTTGGTAGACCCCCAGACACTGGCAGTTCTCCTCTGTCCTACAGGGTCCCTGAATCGGAATCAACTCAATGGCAGAGAGTTTGCTTGGTTTCAGATCCCACGCATATACTCAACTGTAGGGTTGGGGTGGAATGGAATCCCTTGAGGGTCAGGCTTACAGTGTGTCTGACAGGCTGAGTTGCCTAGTAGGTAGACCTATCTGCGTATCAGAACCACTCTGCCTGCCCTTGCTGTGCTACAGCCTCTCTGAGGAAGACCACTGGGGCGCCTTCTGTTTCCCAGGAAATTCTGATGGACCTGCCAAGCCAGGGCAGCAATTTGAGCAGAAGTTTTAAAAATGAGCAGCCTGCATGCAGTGTCCAACCTTTGGATCATTTGGCTCACACGTAAATCTGGGTTAATGATAAGATCTAGACCTGTATCACTCAAGAAGAAACAACTGACTGAATCATCTCAACCCTCCTCATTGCTCCTCTATCACGATAGCCATCCGCTCGCTCTCCTGAACTTATTAGAAAACTTGCCTTGGCCCCTCCCTAAAGGAAGAAATATGAGGAGTGAGGACACGGAAGCCCTGGGTGCGAGGAGAAAACATGTGGGCCCATTGAAACGAGCCATTTGATGCTGACAAGGAGTGTGGACTGATGAGGTTGAGAAAGTGTTTTCTTAAGATGGGAGGCCAGAGCTAATTTATAGGCCAGGCAAGAAGAAATGAAACATGGCCTTCCTGTTAGGATTACTGGACGAAAGTGTGGATTTCAAAGTGCATTACCTTCAGCAAGCAACGATCACCCCTAAACTTACCTTCCCCTGAGTAGTGGAACAAAGCAGCCCCGTGGCTCTGCTAGGGAACCGGCAATCAAACCCTTTCCTGTGAAGGATCCAGGCAGCCTCGTCAGAAGGCCCATTGGCTACCTGCAAATGAGCAGAATGTCGATGGAAATAGTAATGCAAACATTCACAGGACTTCATGGGCCGACGTCTTCATTTCAGTATCTTTAACGTACAACTGTTCATTTTAACGATCAAGTGAAGCAAAGCCATCTGGCGCTGGAATTCCATGTTCTGGGGCTACCCTCACCTTGAATCAGGGGTATGTTCCAAAGTTAACTATTACTGCTAAGTAACTACATACCTTGGTTTCTCCCTGGAGTCCCTGATGGGCTTGGGCTTCCTTTTATCTATATACTGCATATTACTTCATCAAGGTGCTTTTAAATAACTCGCTCCCTATTTTATTTTGAAAACAATACATATCAGTTGAATGGGGGGAAAGGGGCTGCTGATGTGCTTCTGAAAAATTCACCAATAGAAACCCTTTGGAGCACAACAGCTGGGCCCACAGTAGGTCATGGACGTGGCTGGGGCCCGGCAGCCATTCTGTGTCCAGCTTCCTGACCACACTGAACTACAATTGTCGCATGAAGTCCCCCTTATCTGGTCAGGGAACACCGTAAGAGTCGTCTTTAAACTGACGCATGCCTCTCTGCCTCTGCTAACCACTAATTATGGTAGACTGAATTGACATTTTAAATTTTTGATGTTAATTTGCTCACTATTTTTACACAAGAGCTTCTGAAATTGAATTAGCTGTGCCTATCAATTGCTAGGGCAATCCACATTTATTAGCTGGAGGCGTCATTTAAACTCACATTACAGAAGCTATTCTTCCTGTGCGGGCACAAAGGAAAGCACCACATGACAAGCCAGCTCTGGGTCTCAGCATCTGCGTCCTTGCATTTAAGTAACAGTGCCACAAAGCGGCTTAGATCGCTGACCATTCTGAAATATAACTAGGTCTCTTACAGTGGGAAGATGCTTATGACAATAAACGAAATGAATTGAAAGTCTTAAGGGGAATTAAGAAATGACACATGCATTCAAGAGAGTTGTGTTGCTCAGCACGGGCACATTGATGAATCTGCTTCTCCTTTATCTGGCCACAGATATGCCCAAGTTCTTGATCAGTCTCACTAGGGGATACAATCTCTTACTGTGCTATCAAGACCTCTTCTCTGAGCATCGGCCAGCATTCTCACCACAGATTGGCTTTTAATGTGCCTGAACAGTTAGTTAAAAGCTATCTTCACCTCAATCCTTGGCTGGAAAAACTTACGTTAGGATGTTTCACACTGGTATTTTGCAGTAGTACTGCTAAGATTTTGTGCAGGAAGAGGAAAAATCATTTAAAGTACTCAGAGTCATCAAAGGACTACATAAGCTACAGAAATGTTAAGTCTTATTCCTCCTGTCAGATATGTAGTCAATTAACATAGCCTGTCTAGCCATAATCCCTTATGTGATATATTATAAATGCTAGCCTCTATGCTCAAAGAGCTGGAGCAAGAAATCTGGAAGACAGCTACTCAACCAATTGACTAGAAGATTTGTACGCATTCTAAAGAAATGTGACCCAATAGAATGCTCAAATTATAGAACAATATCATTCATATCACATACAAGTAAAATTTTGCTTCAGATCATCCAGCAATAGTTGCAGCAGTACATTGAGTAGGAGCTGGCAAAACTTCAGGCTGGATTTAGAAGAGGATATGGAACAAGGGATATTTTAGTAGTTACATAATTTCAAGTCAGGTCAACTTAATAAATAAGAGTGAAGTATGGTATCTCTTTGTGGGTGTGGCCTTCTCATAAGGAGGGTCCTGCCTGGGAACCTCCCCCTCATTTCTCTGCTTCCCTTCCTGCTGGCAAGCCATGCTGCTGCGACCTGGCAGAGCCCTATGATGCATCCACTGCCATTGCGTCCACAAGACTGCAGCCACTGGCCTGCGATCTTCCTGCATTAGTACATGTGGCTTCATGAGTCTGAAGAGGAATGTATGGACTAGAATTGGACTTATGGACTAGTATCAGACTTGTGGACTTGATCTGGACTGTGCTGGGATGTTTGTTTGCTACACAATTACTTCTTGATATAAAGCTCTCTCTTACACATATATGAGTGTCACCGAATTTGTTTCTCTAGTCAACCCAGCCTAACACAGCTATACATCATTGCTAAAGTCAAATGGATCTGGGCTGAAAGCAGAGAATACCAGATGATGTTTACTTGTGTTTCAGTGACTATGAAAAGGCATCAACTGTGTGGACCATAATAAACTGTGGATAACCTTGAGAAGAATGGGAATTCCAGGGGGCTCTGGTGGCCTTGGGGTCCTGCATTTGGCAGCTAACTGCAAGCATTCTGGCCATTTTGTTCCCTTGCTGCAAAAGCAGGGACAGCAGGAAGGCGACAATTGTGGCAACATGCTTGCTCTTAGGCTAACAGACACACGGGGCCTTTAGCAGTTTCCCTGGGTCACGCGGAAGGTTGGCATGCCCGCTCTGAAAAGAGGGAGGTTCAAGTCCACCCAAAGGCACCCAAAGGCAGAAAAGCTGGTGGTCTATTTCCAAAGGGTCAGCCCCTCAGAACCCTTCAGGACACAATTCTACCTGCCACAAATGGCACACATGAGGTGTTGGAGCTGACTCAAGGGCACTTGTTCATTTCTTCAATTTTGAAGGCCTTTAGCAGACAAAAAGGAGTAACAACAACAACGTGTGAGAGGGAATCAATCCTACCTTTGAATTACAGCAGGAGATTTAAGTGAAAGCAGAGACTCAATTCCCGAGAGTTAACCTTCACTGAGGGAGTGAGGAGGTACACTTTCTCTGAAGACTAAAAGTGCACCCCGTTCTCACGGTCCAGTAACACCAACTGAAGTAGCAATTGTCTTGGTTCAAGTTTGTTTTTGTTTTTTTTAAATCTAATATTCATGAAAGTATCAGTGTTCAAGCAAAATTAACGGAGGCAAAGAAGCGGTTCTTCATACTTTCAAAGTCTGTCTAGACATTTTATTTCCAACACAACTGCTTTGAAAAGTAGACAAACTGTGAGTTTAACTTGGAGTATGCATGCTGGAGAACAGATACCTTCCAATAGTCATACCGGATGCTCCAGGATTGTAAACAGACTTTGAAAGAATGGTTTTTACATTCATTAACATGGGTGTAATATCTGGGCCTCACAAAGAAAGGGGAGAGGGTAGGGCTGAAAAGTCCTATTTTTTTTTTGTAGAAAAGTCCTACTTTTTTTTTTCTTTTTTTGGAAATATGACTTTGTGGCAAGCATTATGTGAGGTGAGCCTCAAATGAACTGTCTTTGTGAAACAGCTGAGCTGTTAAGTGTGCTTGGATCACTGAGAGTAAGGCTGAGGGGCTCAAAGACATCCAAGGGAAATCTCCTGCACAACTATTTTGGAAGATAATACCAACCTGCAGTTTGTAGACTAAGCTGGACTTATTATTCTTCCAGTAATTTGAAGGAGTGAGGGAGATGATGATTTGGCGTTGGGAAGAAGGCTATTAGGGGCTTAGAGACACTGGGTCAGAAGCAAGGTTTTGGTTGTAGCATGAACAAGTTATGTGACTTTGAGCAAATCACTTAATAGTGCTCTGAAAATTGACTGAATTGGGACACACTCTAACCAGAGTCCCTTTGAGACAGTGAGCTGGTGTGAAGGAAGGGTGAGAGAAAAATCTGTCTATGTTAACAAATGGATGAAGGCATGATGAACTTAGTTCATGGCACTACACTGTACACATGAAAACTGATGACACGGTAGATGTTTCGTTAAATGTCTCTTTACCACATACACTCACAAAAGGCCCGTGAGGACGGGGGGCGGGGGGGGGGGGGGGGAGAAGAGGGAGGGGAAAAATGAGGACCTAATGTGGGGGGTAACATAAATACATAAATTTCTAAAAACGACACGCGCGATAGCAGCAATCATTGCTGCTGAAGTTCATTGAGCACTTGCTTGGAATGCTTTTCATGAATTATAACCATTTACTCTCATAAATCTTGTGAAATAGTTGAGAAGACACACAAGTCTAGGATAGTATTTGGTTTGTGCAGGCCCAGCTCTATTACAAGCCTTTTCTCTGACACCTTGATAAGAATAGTCACAACGAAACCTGTTTCCCAAAGGTTCGATAGGCGTCCCACCTGAGTACAGAAAGGGAGGGTAGCACCTTGGTTAAGCACTCTGCAGGAGACAGACCGGCCATCTGCTCTTCTGAAAACCCGTCTAGAAAACCCTGTGCTACTCTGTCCCACGTGGTCATTAGGAATCAAAATTGGACTGGAATGTACCCAACAACAAAAACAGACAACAACAACAAAAACAACAGTGTCTTTTCCCAAGCCCTCAACATTATCTTTTTGTTCCCATGCAAGATGCAGGTCTGAGTGAGAAGGTGGAGTCAGCCAAGCCTGAGTGTCCCTCCCATTCACTATGACTATGTGACCCTAACAAATTCACTATCAAGCTCTACAGACATCTAGTCCTTGCCAACTCACACAGACCCTCTAAGGGCAGGGAGAACTGCTCCTGTGGGGTTCTGAAACTGTAACTCTTTACGGGAGTAGAAAGTCTCATCTCCCTCCCACGGTCAGCGGTTTTGAACTGCCGAGCTTGCAGTTAGCAGCCTATTGAGTATGCAGTCAGGGATCCAGGGGTGACTTACCAAACCCCCAGCACACAAAACCAACGGCCCAACAGGACCAAACTCATTGCCATCAAAGTTTACAAAAAGTCCTTAGCAGAATGCCCGGCATTTAGACAATTTAAGTCTATTTTACATAAAACCTCGGAATCTATACATTGAGTGGATTGCAACTTCTAATGCTACAAAAAAAAAATGTGTATAAGTTATTGTGGGATAGACAACTAATTTGGCTCTGTAAGCATTCTCTCAAGTCGCAATAAAGAGTATAAATATGCTATTTCACTTTTCGAAAGCGTGTATGTAATATATTACATGTGTGGTGATGTACAGATAGGTTTTTTTTCTTTGAGAGTAGAATTCATCAGAGCTGCTCATTGGTTAAAACATGATGAACGACGTGTGTGAGGAATACAAGTCAAAGTGACATTCAGGGTTACTTTGGCAATAAGCTTCAACCTTCTCTAATTGATAAAAATATGTCAGACATTTATATTTCATAGTAGTAACAATCCGAACAGCTGAGCTATCACAGGTGCAAACCTTCATTTGCTATCTGTTAGACTCTGTTGTAAGTGCTTTTCAAAGCGTACTCCTTTAATCTTCAGAGCACCTTAAAGGTGGCTACTATCCCTATCTTCATACTCCTAAGGAGGAAGCTGGGACCCAAAGAGTTAAGTGGCTCCCTCTAAGCCAGAGAGAGCAAGTGGAAAAGCTGCCTTCAAATCCACATGCGCTCACCCCAAAGTGTGTGCTCTTCACTACTTTACTCTCCTACGTTTCCTCTACTTAGAGATGCCTCTAGCTAGCTAGCTAGAAAGGCAAACAATGTTATAAACACGTGCACATTACCACTCTGAATTAAGCCTGGAGAAATGGAACATTTAATCAATGGTTCTGTTACAGAGCTTAAACCATGACTTATCAACGTGTCTATCAATTCAGAAAGCAAAGGTTGGAAACTTTTTCATCCACCCACAACTCATCCATTGATTTACCCCATTTCAAATAGGGTTTATACACATTCTGAAAACTTTGAGTGTTTGTGACAGTCTCATCAAAGGACAGGAGCAGACCTATTCATCTGTGCATGTTAGCGGGGAGGTGCAGGGCTTTACCTACTGTGGCTCCTCTAGCCAGAGGTTTGTCAACGCCCATTCAGTGACCTGACAGGACAGGCTAACTGGGCAGATTTCCCTTTTCCCTAAAAAATCTGGGTAAGCGCAGGTGGAGAAAGATCTAAATAGTTATTACATAGTTTGGTTTTAAGTGACTGTTAATAGGGTTAATTGTAATTATAGAAACTTGGAACACTACTTTGAGGATTTGTCAATTTTGTTGCCCATAAGAAATAAGCTACCTCAAAACAGGAACAGGCAGGTCGTTAATATGATCAAGAAAGAAGAGCCAGGAGTGGAGTCTGGTCTCTAGACCCCATGTTGCTTGTGTGCTGAACCTCCTTGATGCAGGAGGCCGAGGGTTATGAACCAGAGACGTGGCAGAGGAGTGGTGGCAGGAGAAACAGCAGAAGCAAGAAGCAGAGTATCAGATAGACGGGGTGGGGTAGGGGGTGGGGGGCTTCCTGGTCTACGAAGTGAGTGAAAAACGAGTGAGTGCCTTTGGATGGGAAGCTCACTTGTTGATGAGCTATCTAAGGAGTTCAGTTTGCTGATCCATGAAGCTAGAGCCAAGTACCTTTGTTGAAGCTGGTGGAGGGATGTGTCCTTTGAGCACTCATCAGCAGCAGTCGCACTCATCTGAGAAGGGCAGGTGCCAAAGACTAGGGAGGGATGCGCCTGTGGGTATGGCTGAGGAGGAGCTCCTGAGTGGAAAACCTGTAACTGGAGCATTTCTGGTCCTAAATTGTAACCTGTAATTCCCTTAATAAACCCCACAAGCATGTGTATGGTCCATGAGTTGTGTGGCCCCTGTAATGAATGACTGAACTCAGGAGAGAAGTAGGCAGTCTCTTGGTAGGGGCAACTTGTGTCAGAATTGTAAAGGAGGTTGGAAGGTGAAGGCATGTCTGACCTCCACTTGCCCTCAGTATGAGGTGCAGTTTGGTTCTCATCCTTCTCCTTGTGAAGTCGAAGGAGGTGAGATGCCACCTCCATCCCACTTTTACAGTGGGTACTTAAATGTGAGGCCCGAAAGTCAGTCAACATCCGCGATGTCTTAATACTGTATGTACACGCAACCCTTTTCTGGAGAAGAGAAAGTTTCTAACTCTGACCAGATTCTTCAACAGGCATGTGACGTCACCCTGCTGACATGGTGTCAAAGGCACACATCACTTAGGGCATAGAAAAACACGGGATGGGAAAATACCTTCAACCAGCTCAGAGCCTGAATTTCCCTAACAGCACTCATTTTTTAGTGCATCGTGGCAGCTGGAAAGGTTAGGAAATTGCACACGTACTCAGAAATCTCATGACAGGAAATAACCAGTAGAAGTCATTTTCGAGGGTACTTATTAAAATGTTCAATACTAGTAATCCTGTTTTGATCAACAAGGTAAGATGATAGAAAGAGGAAGAAAATGGGCATTCTCAGATAGCGAACAACAAAGGAATACTTCCCCCATCACTTTTTCTACTTTACAAAGCTAGGGAGATCAATAAAGTACCAATCAATTCTTGTAAGAAAGGAAAATAAAAACCTTAAACTGCCTCTTGTAAGTAAAGAAGGAACAGTGTTACTAAGTGCAGAAAGAAAATTTTACCTGATTCTGATGTTGTTAAAATGACTGGCTAACTATGTGGAAGAAACAGTCACAAGTCAAAGTAAATCCCACAGAGAATATAATTAAATAGACACTGAAGACAAAGGTGTGCATAAGCAAAGGTGGTGAAGAAAGCTGATGGTGCCTGGCTATCAAAAGATACAGCATCTGGGGTCTTAAAGGCTTGAAGATAAACAAGCGGCCAACTAGCTTAGAAGCAACAAAGCCCACATGGAAGAAGCACACCAGTATGTGTGACCACGAGCTGTCGAAGGGATTGGGTGTCAGGCATCAAGGAGCAAGAAATCATGCCATTGTAAAGGTAGGAGTGCAGAGTGGAGACTCAGAGTCCATCGGTAGGCAACTGAACACCCCCCTGCTGAGGGGTTCTGGGGAGGAGACGAGCTAATCAGGGTACAGGGTAGCAACGATGAATCATATAACATTCCTCTAGTTCTTAAATGCTTCCTCCCACCCAATATCATGATCCCAATTCTGCCTTGCAAATCTGGCTAGACCAGAGGATGTACATTGATACAGATAGCAACTTAAAACACAGGGAATCCAGGATAGATGACTCCTTCAGGACCAGTGGTGAGAGGAGCGAGGCCTGGAGGGTGAAGGGAATGTGGGGTAGAAAGGGGGAACCGATTACAAGAATCTAAGTACAGCCTCCTCCCTGGGGGATGGACAGCATAGAAGAGGGTGGAGGGAGAAGTCGGACAGTGTAACTTATGACAAAACTATAATAATTTATGAATTATGAAGGGTTCATGAGGGAGCGGGGAGGGGGAAGGGAGGGGGAAAATGAGCAAATGATATTAAGGGCTAAAGTAGAGGGCAAATGTTTTGAGATTGATGAGGGCAACAAATGTACATATGTGCTTGACTCAATGGATGTATGTATGGACTGTGATAAGAACTGTATGAGCCCTCAATAAAACAATTAAAAAAAATATTTCGACTTGAGCATCCCTGGGCCATACGAATGGTTAAGATGCTAGGTGACTCATCAAAAGTTTGATACCATCCAGATGTGCCCTGGGTGAAGGGCCTGGTAAACGGCTTCCCCACAGTCCCATCACTGAAACCCTATGCAGGACACAGTTCTAGTCTGACACACACGGGGATACCCTGAGTCAGAGCTCCTGACAGCACCTGGGAAAAATCACTGAATTCAGGGTGCAAGAACATGAAGGGCATGGGAAGTAATCAAAAGAGGGAAAACTAACCGCAACACATAAACTAGACATAATTTTGTAAAATATCAAAGCATAGTTGCTCCACGAAGGCTAACTTACTGGATTAGTTAAGTCCCCCTATTTCCTCACTCTGTACCACCATCTAGTTTTAAACCAGGCTCAGACCTGTCCTCCAGAGATGCCCTCAGCACACCTGACGTCAACAGCATTGCTCTCTCTGAAGAGCGACTCTGGTGACCTGGCTTGCCTATTGAGTGCACTGGAGTGGTGCTCCTTCTTCTGCACAGTTCTTGAATCTGTCTAGAAGTGCTTCCTGCTCTTGATATAACAGAAGAAGGGGTGACACACAGCAAAGGGTTAAAAGCAGGGCCTACAGTGTTTCCTACTGTTGTGCGGAGGGTCGCTGTGAGCGGAAACTGACTGGAGAGCGTTTACCACCACCACCACCACCACCACCACCACCACCACGGCGGACACATTTCTAGAGAGGCTGTGTAACACACTCTGAGGCAGTGTTTCAAGACTGCAAAAACGAAACGTCCAATTCATTTATTCCACACATAAATGAGGGGACTTCAAAAAAAGTTGGTGGAGGAAAAGTAATAGATGATTTTCCAACAACTTTTTGCAGCCTCCCCTGGCATGTTCATGTGTCTGGGTATGGTTACCGGGTTCTACCTCTACATATGAAGTAGGGAAAAGCTTTCTAAATGAAAACATACATTAAACTCAGTATCATCAAAGGAACCCTGGTGGTTAGTGGTTACATGTTGGGCAGCGTTCCACATGGTTGGCCATTTGAAACCACCGGCAGCTCCACAGGGCAAAGACTGACTTTCTACTCCACTGAGCAGTTAACAATCTCAGAACCCCACAGGCAGTCGCTATGAGTCAGCACTGACTTGAGAGCAGAGTTTGGTTTATTATTATCAAACAGGTCATGGATATCAGGAACGGAGTTAAAAAACAAACCAAGTACCTCTGTCATAGAATTGATTCCGACTCAGCACTTCTATAAAAGGTTCCCAAGACTGTAAATCTTTATAGGAATAGACAGCCTCATCTTTTTCCCGTGAAGCAGCTGGTGGGTTTGAACTACCCGCCTGGCAATACAATGGTTACCTGTCAGCACCGCCAGCATCCCCTGGGGCAGTCAGCAACTGAGAAGTCTGGCACTCTACCCTGGGGTGACACCCAGCCCTGAGATTCAGAAGACGGGGGTGGGGTTTGTGGGGGAGTTGGGGTTGGGGTGGGGTGTGTGTGTTCCTGATTCTGTGGTTTACCACTGGAGTACTTTATTTTCATTGTTTACTCTCACTAACCTTACCTTTATTTTCCCAGTTTACTAAACTGAGTTAACTAAGCAACTTCTGGAATCAGGAAGGTTTGTTTATGTTTTAAATTACTTATTGAAGGGGACCTTTTTCCTGTGAATTAGAATCCCAGAGATGGGAAAATTTATAAACATTTCTGTTTTTATAATCGTCCCTCTGTGATTTGGACCCAGTTCATCTATGCTTGGTAGTCAGCACTGCTGAGCCACCTCAGTGGGTTCATATCTTTCGTATTTTTTTTTTTTTTGGTCTTGTTTCCACCCTTCTCCACAGGGTCTCAGGAAGACTACCTTGGACTCAGAATCGAGGGACCCCGGAGCCCTCATGGGGTAAGCACTGGGCTGCCGACAGCCTGGTGAGCGGCTCACACTTACCAGCGGTTCCAATGAAGACAGAGGGGCAGGCTGCTCCCGTGCAGACGCACAGTCTCTGAAACTCTATGGAGCAGTTCCCTTCTGCCCAACGGGGTCAAAAGACCTGAGGGCAGTGTGTTTGGGTTTGGGATGAAGCTGAGAATGGGTGGGCATAGTGTTGGTGGGGGAGGTCAAGCAGGACGAAGGTGTGCCTTTATCATGGCCAGGTGATACTGAGACATATTCCTCATGGAATTATTGCACAGTGGTGGGGGCAGTGGTGGTGGTGGTAGGAGGCAGGACTTAAATATTGAGCAAACAGGCCTCAATGGCCTTGTTTAGAATCTGATCTCTATGATGCCAGCATTTCCACAGGAAACATAAACTGCAATCTCCAAATGAACAACTTATTACAGTGCCAGCATACAAATAAATACAGGATCGCGATCTAAAATGTCTTGGATTGGCTTCTGGATTTAATCATTTACAGGACAGCTCTTAAGTAACAAGCTGTGTTTGAATCGATACCCACATCACCTTCCTTCAATGATTACCTTTCTCTATCAGGTGTTAGGGGACAAAGAGCAATTCTTTAAGGAAGCCATTCTGAACGCACTAATCAATCCCCATGGATTACTGGTGGGCTTTCAAGCATTGCTGTAAGTGCGTGTTTAAGAGTCCAGGCTAACAGGAACTGGCATCAGTTGATATGATCCCGCAAAACAACCGCGCATACTTAAGTTCTCATCATGCGCCAGCAATAATAGTTATAAGTATGCATTAACATCTCAGTCTTTACTGCTTGTCAAATCCATACATTTCTCAACTGCTCTCTATTCTCTCCGCAGACATCTCAATCACACCGGACTTGGCATATTCATCAGCCTAGCAACCTATGATTACCAAGCATTTCTGTGTTCAAAGGGCTTGCGGGGCATTATTTCATCTCTTTCCCCTCCAGATCTGGAGCAGTCATACCCGGTACTAGTCTCATTTTATGAATGGCAGCTAAGTCAGTAGTTACTTAGTCAACGGTCATGGAAAGTAAACCTGTGTCCGAGATGGGAAGCATGGTGGCTTCAGGGGGATGGAAGCCAGACTGTAGAAAGCCCATGGTAAGGTTCTGAATGCATGTGGCAGGCAGCAGGATTTTAATCTGGGAATGGATACAATTTGTATGACAACAGGACAGCCAACAGCAGGCCATGAAATGCAAGAAAGTAAGTGACCACTCAGAAGAGGCGGCCTTGTAGTGTGAAACCCACCAGTAGTTCCACAGGAGAAAAACCTCATAATTTGTTCCTGTGAGGATCAACCATGGCGAATGAGTTGATTCTGACTCATAGCGACCCTACAGAACAGAGCAGACCTACCCCATAGGATTCCTAGGGTTCTAATCTTTATAGAAGCGGACTGCCATATCTTCTCCCTTGGAGAAAGTTTGAACTACCCACCTTTTGGCTAACAGCTGAGTACTTAACCACTGTGCCACCAGGGTTCCTCCTGTAAAGATTTCAACCTAGAGAACCCTATGGACCAGCCTTACCATAGTCCTCTGGTTCACCACGAGTCAGAATCGATTTGATGACACTCAACTATGATTAAAAAAAGGTGAACTGAAACTAGCCTAGGATTACAGTAGGTAACAGCCCACATTCATTGCTTCCTGTCAGCTCTGGGATGCCCAGAAAACCCTCTCATTTCAAATATCTACAAGACAGGATTCATCTAGAAGAGAGGTTAGGAAGTGCAGTGGCTGCCCTCCCCAAGGCCTTTGGATTCTCGGGTTGCTGAAGGCCCCACTGTCTTTGCTGAGAGGTGGTAACCTGAGACTCAAGAGTCCCCTGCATCCTTTCACTCCCTTACTAGCTCATGGATTAAGGAAAGCTGCCCTTCCCTAGTGCTTTCCATAAGCCGAAGAGCAGACTCATGAAAGACTACAGAAGAATCCTAAAAAAACCCAAACACCCACCCATAAGATCCGTACACTCAGGAAAGTGTTACTGAGCCCCCACTCTGTACAGAGGGTTTCCAGGCTGGAGAATAATACAACACAAGCCCTGCTCCTGCCTCTGGACCGCCTCCTTCACATTTGCTCGAACTCTACCTGAAATACTCTTCCCCCAGAATTCTGCAGGAGTTTCTTATTCTTCCATATTTTTGCCCCTATACTCACCTTCCTTGAGGATGTTTCTCCAACCGCCCTGTTCAAACAGGAAATACCTTCTCCCCTTATCTCCCTTCCCTCCTGCATTTCTCTATGGCCACGATCACTTTCACATAAGCTTTTCTTTTTTCCCTTTATTTTTCCTGTCTTACTAGAAGGGCAGGGGCTTTCGCCTATTTTGTTGATCTCTAGCACCCATAACAGCAAGTAGTACATAACAGACGTGAAACAAATCTTGCACATTTACTTACGTGATTAAACAGGCCTCTCAACACAGAGAGACATATACATTGGCCGCTAGCATTTGCTTGCATTCATCACTACAAGCCAAATAAAATTTCTGGAGAGCCAGAAATAAGTCCTTTATCATGGACATAACATTTTATAAAGCCCTAAATGGCTTATTTTGTGAGTATTTGTTCTTCAGTCTTGTTTATTTTAGTTCTTTGCTCTTAAAATAAACACGCCTTTCCTCCTGGTTGTTTTCAAACACCAACACTTTCTTCTCATGTGCAGGCCATTTAGTGTATTTCCCACAGAATCTGTAACCACTTACTATTTCCAGCTAAATGTATGTCAACTCCGAACATCAAAACACCCACAACATCTAAGGGTGATGCTGATTTTAGAATCCTTATTATTTTCAAACGCAATCTTTTGAAAAAGTGGGCAGGTATGTCAACCAAAGCAGTCTAAGTGGATTAAATTCCACACCTAAGAAAGCTTCCCCACGTTCTTCCTCTAGTAGAACCTTGCACTTCTTCTGAGGAGTTGTAGAAATTTATAGGAGGAAGAGAAAAAAACAAAACAAAACCCAGAGCATCCTCCAAAGAAACAACCAAGTGCTATTCTTTCTGTTTCTCCATCTCCTGAGAAACACAGGCTAATAAGAAGGAATGAATGGACAATGTTTGTAAGACCGGGTTCTTCCACCTACTAATTACGTGACCCCAGGCCAGCATTAACTTACTTAGCTGTACAAAGAAGATGATATTCCCTGACCTGCTCACCACACAGAACTTTTCAAAGAATCAACTAAATTAGTATTGGGATAGTGCTCTAAAATATAGAGCACTAGTCAAAGGAAAGGGATAATGATTCTGCCTAAGGGTGAAACCCTCTTAATCACCCCTTGGAGCACAGTAGAGCTGACAGAACCGTTTCTTCTCCCCACTCCTTTACATCAAGAGTGCGTTAACAAGTTCTCTTTTATAGATGTGTTTCGGAATATACCTTTGACTGTATTGTCCGCAGATTAACTAGATGAATATCACAGGGCAAAGATGACAGTAATGGAGAAAATTCACCCAGCAGCTGAGGGGTGGGCGAGGAGACCTTTTCTGTCATTGAAAAGACGGGATGATTCAGGAAAGCAGAAGTGAAGTGGCTAAGGAGGGATGGGTAACTGACCGACTTCTTCTCTTCTTCCTATCGAGAGAAAACACAAGTGCCTCAGAGCCACTCTACAGTTTCAGTTCTTACAATACCAACCTATATGAAAACTCACACGAATTTATCCTATTTCATAAACAATTCTTTTAAAGTACATAGATTATCAAGTTCATTTACAAGTGATAATACAGGGAAATTAATAGTGTTCCCTTAACTCATATGCTAAAAAAATTTCCCCCCCTATTAACATAAAGAACACTGACATTTCCCATAAACACTTTAGAAGAAGCTATATTTTTATAGACTTTTTTTCAATAGTCTCTTTCTCCACATTTTACTATTACAGTCTCCTGGTCCTACTTACACAGGTAAGACCATACAGAAATGTACTGATTCAGTGTTACCAAAAAAGACCAGGTAATCAATAATAGGTAAAGGGAGTTAAATGTTATGTAATAATAGGATTGAAAAGAAAGAAAACTCTAAAAACTGTTTTTAAACATAACACAGGTGGCATGCCTAGAGTAGCTGATTATTTTCTGTTAAACATGGTAAATCATTGCCAATTGCTTCATTCTACTTTAGTCCCCAAACAAGAAATGTGTTTTAGACAATGGTTATCTGACATCCACATGGTACAATTATTAAATGTAATTTTGGAGTGTTTTATCCTTTGTTACAGTGCATACATATTTACCAGCATTTCAGCACAATCAAACATTATGCAAGTCTATGAGGGTTGGGGATCTGCATATCCTAGGTGTTATTACAAATTCAAACCAATGACTAAGTGGGATTTTACCCAGTAACACCCAAGGAGTGAAAACAGACACAGGGAAGCCCCGAGAAGAGACATGGACGCATAAAGGTCTTTTGATCACAAGCTACATCTGAAGCAAATTTAACGTTGTATCTTATTTTTAAAAATGACAGTTCCACTGATGACTTCAGATTTTGCATTCCTTTTGTAATACGGGTGCAAATAAAAGGTTTGGGTACTTATCTGTTTGAAAAGAAAGGATTTAGAGATGGGACAGAGCTCGAAATTCAGAATGTCAGATCAGGATTGAAGAGAAAGGTACTAGCCAAGAGTGAGTCGCATCTTCCCAGCAGCTAAGCGGAGATGCCATTACAATTCAGAGAGTGGAGAGAGAGAGAAAATGCAATGAGGCAGCAGAGGGACACTATGATATTAAGATACTGACAAAAACTATTAGGCCTGAAAGAAGGTTTTTAAGATGCAGCCATTCTACATTCTTTTTAAAGGAGAGATTAAATAAAGCATATAGAATATTCTCCAACAATAATGAAATTTAATGCAACTTGTAAAATAACACGAATAGAGCAGGTATATTTTCAACAAGACAGTTTAAATGTACTCCAAGATCAAAGGACTTCATAATGTAGGTCAGGATTGCTGACAAAATCACTTTGAATAATGAAAGATAAAAGATTCCAACAGAAAGGAAAACACCTGACTTATCAGATTTGTGAGGCATCAAGTCTATTCTAGGTCAAGCTCTCGGGAACATTCAGGAAAGCTCTGGGCTGGCTTTCTTCTATGCTCTTGGCAGGATTCCTGGGCACTTCAGGTGAGAGTAGGTGGGGCACTCCCCGACTGATCTCAGGGGCAGCAGTGTGTGCATACACCACTCTTCCCAACTCCAGATCAGGTGCCAGACCCTCAGTGCTTCCCCAAACTGACTTCACATCAGATCGGTCTTTGGGAGCCTTTAAAACACATCCTTTAAGTCTGTTAAATCCTAATCCTCAGGGGTAGGGATCCAGGGAAGGTGAAGGTTAAATGCCTCCCCAGGTGAACTCATGCAGTCAGCTCCACATTACCCTGTACACTTGTGATGGGAAGTGCCAACCCAAGTCCCCTCCAGCTCTTGGAGAAGGAACAGCTCCCACTGGGATGAAAACTGTATGCAGTGCTCATGGTAGTACTATTCACAGTATCTAAAGGAAGCAACAGGAGAAGTGTCTACCAACAGATGAATAAACACAACACAGCACACAAACACAACAAACTATGATTCAGGCATAGACAAATGAAGTCTTATTCATGCAATTACATGGATGAACCTTGAAAATATTGTGCTGCATCAAAGGAGACACACAGGACAACTATCTCATGATTCCCTCTTACATAAACAATTTGAATAGGCAAATTGATAGAGACCATAAGTTTAGGGATGGTTACTAAGGATCGTTGGGCAAGGGATAGGGGGAGTTATTGCTTAAGAGGCCATAGGAACATCTGGGGCTAGGCAGAGGTGATAGCTGCACAGTAAGCTGCATGTAAGTAATGTCACTGAGTGGTACACACGGTGGAATGTTTGAAACGGCAAATGTTTTATCATATATATTTTATCACAATAATATAAAAATGAATAAGCTCCACCTTTCAGTGACTTCTGGATTACAAAAACAAACTACTTTTTATCAAAAGCTTGATAAAAGGAAACAATATTGGACACAGTACATAGAAAATTCAAGAACTGTGCGCTTTCTTGTCCTTAGCAAGGCAAGAGCGAGCCGCTCATGGAACAGTTGTGGTTTGTGCCAAACGAGAATAAGAAATCCAGAACACCTCTGACAGCTGGGCTGGGCAGGCCAAGCAAAGTCTCCCCCAATTCATCCCACCGTTTTTACAAGCTCACCAGAACAGCGCACCTTTGAGCTATCAATGTTTGGACTAACCTCTCAGAAACATAACCTTTCCATCATAAGCTGGACCATCACCCCAAGTTCGTAAAAAATGTTTGCTTATATGAATAGTGTATATTTGCTTAAGCTATAAATGAATTCCCCAGTCTTGCTGCAACTAATATAGTTTAATACACATTGTTTAGTTTCTCCATTAGTCCAAAGGCTTCCGACTATGCCAGCCTAATTTTCTGCCTGAAATGAAAATTTCCTGTACAACCCGACCCAAATCATACAGGGTTGCGTGAGAACTTATCTGTAGTAGTTACATAATCTTGAGTCAACTAGAGGATAATCAGAGTGAAGGGGCAGAGTCTAGCCTGTCAATCAGGTCATAGCCTGATGATGCCTCTTTGTGGCGTGGCCTTCTCATGAGGATTCTGGGAACTAACTAACTCTCTCTCTCTCTCTCCCGGCTTTGCCTTGCTGTGGAGCAGCCACTCTGACAGAGAGCTGGAGGAGCCACGTGGAGACTGTATGGCGGGATCAATACCAGGCTGACTTCTAGCAGCAGGTGACCTTGAATCTCCCCCACCCATGCAGAGCTGACCAGAGCTAGCTGAAACAACTAGCCACAAGTGGCCTTGAATCTCCCACACACACCTGAGGAGCTGACCAGAGCTGGCTAATGGCCCACTTTGTTCTCGACCTGCCGCTCTTCACCTGGCACCGGCATGGCCCGTTTGGCTCAGTGCCCACTTTGCTCTCCACC